TGAAGTCAGCTTCAGACTGTCCTCGGTTTTCCTGCTGACTGCTCCAGCCATCTCCAAAAGACAATAAATGGAAGGTGCAGCTCTTAAAATTAGAGGTCAATTAGATACTTAACGATGAAGCATATCTTCAAATATATATCTATTATTATTATGCTAGCAAAAAATTAATTAACTAGGTCAAGCAGGCCATGAAGGCTAATGTACAAAGCAATTATTTCTGATCTTTACACAACTACTTCACATAAAAAGGTAGTCCTTTATTCTGCTCAGCAGATACCTCAAATGCCTGTAGTTAATCATATTGAAGGAAACAAAAGGCAAGGTCTATCTCCTTAAAAGGTGAGAGGACATCTAAAGTTATTCTGTTTAATTGCTTAAGGACAATCACTTCCTTGCTTATAATATTAGCATCTTTCTGGTTACCAAAAAGGAAAAAGGATAACACACATCTAATGATGCTCTACCACGTGGCAAACATACAGACACATAAAATATATAAATAGCACACAGGAATATATTATAATCAAAATTAAAAACACTGTATATGAAAGATAATCATATAGGCTTAAGAACAGAGTAGAACTTCAGTGAAGCAATGAACACTTGGTTTGGGTAAAATAAAATAAACAATATGTATTTCAACATTTAAAATAAAAAGTTTTCAGATAAGACAAACAATGTTTGCAAAGATGCAGCAATGACATTTAGTTCAGTCCTTCTACAAATAAAGTTTGCATATGTTAAATGATGAGGGGAAGGCAATGAATATTGAACATTAATCATAAAGAAAACACAAACTAAAAATTTCAAGTCTCACAATTATACCCAAAAAAGACATATGTGTATGAATTGACTAAATCATTGGCCCTTGCCCAGAAAGCCAAATGCCTAAATAAAACCCCACCCAGCCAGTTAATTCTTAAGAGATCGTTGTTTAGTTAGCTATGTGAGTAGAGGTCATTGCCTATATAGCTCACAATACAAGTCACTTGAATAACTCTACAACTGGAGTCTGAAGAGACATGAATAATTGGATAATACTGTTCATCCCTGGAAAAGGAAGTTTCTCACAAAGGTATTTTAATGAACTGAATTCTTTTGCAAAGTTCTAGCTACAAAACTCCATCGTTAAACGTGTTCCAATTGATGTGCTGTAGAAACCAAAGAATGTGGTATATTGGATCCATAAAAAAATATCTTCTCCAGATTCAAAACCATGGCATGGTCAAATGAGGTTAGATGAATAAATATATGAAAAAAAATAAAGAAATGAGGATTTATAAAATATTTTCTGTTTTCCCTAGAATTGTCTTATATTTAGTCATTGATTAAAATACTGTAAACACGCTTTGATCTGTTTACAACTGTCAAATTAATTAAAAGTGAATTCTGTTTACCAGTTAGCATAACTCAGAAGTAAAATGCTTCAAAATATTAGCTAAGATACTACAGTTCAATGAGTGGGAGAGGGAGGATGAAATTACTGAAGCAGTTATCTTTCCTTTGAAATTACAGCCTATAAATCAACATTCCCAACTCCAAAGATCCATATTCCATGACCTATTAGTTTTGCTTTCCATAGACTTGGAAAAAATATGCTATTTCTGTCCTGGAAATATCAAAAATACCTATTTTTTTTCTGGGCTCCATATCAGGAGAATTACTTAACATGTAAAAAATGAGAGAAATCATCATTTTCCCCAAAGCACAGAGGGATCTGAATTTACAAAGCAAACATTCTCTGAAAAGACCTAATATTAAAGTGATATTTTAATAGTCATTTATAATTATTATCCTGATTTATTAAACTATAAAAATGGACTCATCAAAACTGTAAAAACAGTTCACAAAATCATTCACCACACTTTTTCAACATGGCTTACATGGCTTTAGAAGAATCTATTTAAAAGTTAGAATTTACAAAGGTAAAATAATGTTAAAAAATATATTCAAGGAACAAATATAAATAAAATTGTTCTTAACTGCATATATAAGTCCTGAATAATTGCAAATAAAATAAACATGGGAACTTTTACAATACTATCTTAATCATGCCTTTTCCTATTTCTAATGAAAATTCCTATTTTTCAATTTGTGGAAACCATTCAGGTTTTCATTTGTTTCCATTATAATAGACCCAGATGTGTCTGTGTGGGTTGTTACAAGAGGTTAGGCACTCTTCCCTTTGCTTCTATTAAAGCTTGCAAATTGTGTGTGTGTGTGTGTGGGGGGAAACAGTACTATTTCAGAAGTCAGCATTCTGAACAAGAGGAATGATATTGAATGCAACCACCTCATACTCATGAACCATAGCCAATTGCCATGATTTAATCTTGCTGATCATGTAAGCTAATAGGTTCTAGGACTCAAGATATAAAAAGAAAAAAGTGTCAAACTTGCTCAAATTGTCTCTGTATTCATCATTTGCTTTTGAACAAGAAGTTAGGTTTTATTTTTAATATCTTTAATAATCCTTAATTCATCTTTAATAATATTGTTTTATCCTTTGTTCTGTTTCGGGTTCAAATGGGAAAGTGTTTCTTTTTTTGATAGAAAAAAATGTTTGAAGCATCCCTTCAGTCTCATATTTTGCTAAAAAAGCATTTAAAATTAGTCCAACAATAATCTCTCTCCTAAATTTGATCAAATTTCAAAAGCCATATTTGAAAATATAGTTAACCCATTCTCCTTCCAAAAAAAAAGAAAGTCTGAATGTCAAATACCCATTTTGTAAGTGTCAGAGATGAATACATTTTGTGTAAGGAGTATGTCTTTTTCACCATTTGAAAAATGCTTTGAATGGTCTCATATGTAGAAGGTAAATACTGACAAGATATGCCATGAAGCAATAGCTCTGGATAGAATGAACTATAAATACAGGTCTTATTGCTTTCTCTTATTTTTTAAAAAATTTGAATTCTTATTACAAAGAATCTTATATTTCTAAAGTGAATGTAACTCTGACATTGACTATCTTTATTTTACAATTTATACTGCTAAGTTCAAGTGCTGATTAGCTGAAATTAAAAAAATTAAACAAGAAATATCCACAAATTTTAAAAGCAATCAAACTTCTATTAGAAAACTTGAAAAAAGTTACTCCTATCTTTTCAAATTGGTGTTTCCAAATGTTCATTCCAATGAATATTTTAAGATCACGTTCTACAGTTTTCTGAAAAATATGTAGTCAGTTTATAACTATACAATCATATATAAACAACATATACTAAAAATATTTCATAAAAATATTCTGAACTGATTTGGTTCCTATTCACCTGAAGTTCTCAGTGCCACAGGAAAACATCAGTGAAGACAACCAGTCACTATCAACAGCACTGGACTAAGAAGTAAAATATATTAGAAAAGAATAAACAAGTAAGTTATAAAGCAGTAGTAAAAACAAGAATTAACTGATATAGGAACACCTCAGAGAATTTTCTCCATTCCTGCTTTACAAACAGGAGAAACAGAGAGACCTAAACAATCATATTGTTTAACACCTACTGAGTTCTTACAGAGGGATCTACAGAAAAATGTAGGAAGCTACAGGCTAAAAATCTTGACCTGAGCAGTAGGAGCTACACTGAAAATTCTAATAAGGGCAGAACAAGGGAACACCTGGACAGTTATTTAATTAAGGATCTCAGCATGAGTCATAAAAGGGATATCAGAATGAGAAATTATTCCAAGATTTAATTGTAAAGGTTGACTGTCAAGAATGCCAAAGACATTCCAACTCATCTATATCTGGACTTTTTTATTTTGCAACATGTATACTTGCATATGGAACATTGAATAGGACAAAAACCAACAAAAAAGTTGGCTAAGACCTCCTACTGAAAATAACTGGACAAAATGCCAATTAGGTAAAGGGACTGCTTCAGATACCAAATTAGTACTGTAAGTGTAGTAACTACCTGGAACACTAAGTGTGATTAACAAAATGAAGCAAAGATCAAAGGTAAAATCATTGTTATTCGTCAATGAGGTAGAATATTGCAGTAAACTATGACTTCATGCTACTGATATTTTAAAAGAAATACAGGAGAGCATGATATTAACCTCGAGAAAAGTAATAATATAATTCAGAATACTCTGGCCCAGTTAGTTTGAATCATAGATCCCAGCAGTTTCTCCAATAACGAAGGGAAACAAGAGTTTATAGTAGGATAGGGATAACTGTGATCAGTGTTTCTGAGAATTAATCACTAGACAGCCAATTCCTTATTTTAGGGCTTTCTAGAAGTCACACACCTATATTCCTATTTGGAAATGGAGACCGTTTTCCTTGCCTATCTCAAATAGCTGTTTGTTGAGTTAACCATCAAATATCTAAAAGAATGACAGAAATCAGACCATCACCTTTCCTCCCCAGACCATTATAATTATGATCTATATATTTTTACATTGCCATAAGAAAAAGGGATTTTCTACATTGTGTTGTAATTATTCAGGAACAAGTTTTTCTTCCTTTTTAGACTGTAAGCTCCTTGAAGACAAACTATCACTCATTAATCTCTCTCTAAGGGCATCTAGAAGGAATACAGTTAATATTTGTTAAGGAACAAATTATTAACAGCCTTTTTCCAGATTTTTCTCATAATTCATCCAATTAGTCCTAACAAGTAAATTAAAAGTAAGCTTCTCTCTACAGTACTATTACATGGTAAAATACAAAACAGAAAGTGGTCAGTGGAGGTAAAAATATCATCTGTACGCTACCTGGGAAACTATTAGGTTCCCACTAGGTAGTGTTAGACAAATGGCAAAAAGAAAACAGATAAGGGTTATTTTGCTTACATATCACATCAGAGAAGAATGCTTAGGCCACCACCTAGTCCATATTTCTTACATTCACTTACAGAATTGTGTACAACATCCTCGAAAACAGTCCTGTTGGTGCTGTTTACAAGACGGGTACATCTGCAGAGTTTTAAATTCCATTTTCAAGGAGGAAAGTATCTAAGTATAATCAGACGAGAGTAATAAAATACACTGACCTGGATCTGTTGCTGCAGGAGATTAATTTTGTGCTGCTGTTGCAGAAGTTGCTGCTGTTGTCTCGCAATCTATCAGAAATAAAGTTTCATTAAGTTAAAATGAAATGCTTACACCTCTGCCATTACCTCGGGTATTTCTCCTGGCATTACAACAATGTTTTACTGCACCTCTATGTGAAAGAGTTCCTATAAAATGAAAGAGGCCAAATCAGAAAGATGGATGAAAGGAAAAATTTTTAAACAAGTGCCATCTCTCCGCTTTATCTGTAGGAAAACTACCCCTTTAATTACATTTGTGAGCTATTCACCTATATCTGCACTGGTCAGCTGGAAATCATGGGATTTTAGAAATCGAATCCTTGTAGAATAGAGATAGAAAATCTCTGGCTACATTTTTCTAAATGGCTTAATTTGAATGTAAAAAGTAAAATCTGTAAGCAAAGACACGAAAAATCTTTCTGTTACTGTTTAATATGGTCTATGTCGGCAAAACCTTTCCTGATACAAAGATTTTTCAGAACTGATACATTTACAAATATTTTTAAAGGAGTGCCAAAGAACACAGCAAAAAGGAAAAAATCTTTAGCTTTTTTTGGTGATGCTGTCTGTGATGTATAAAATATTTTTAAAAACAAATTAAGCTGTAATTTAACATTTATCCATTTATCCTTTTGAGGACAATGTGTTTATTTTACAGTACAGGATCCATATACAAATTTTATATTTCCTTGTTTCATCCAACAATCAAATTGAACATCTACACACATTACCTGGTCTATAAAAATAAATGTTAACCATTTAATGCAAGCCCTACTGATGACTGTCTCTGGCCCTCAGGAAGTCAAACAGCTTCCTTAAGATAATGGTGTTTACTATGAAGTATGAGTCAGGCATCAGGCCGCTATTCACTCAAAAGCTGAGCTGCTACAGCTTGAAGTCCAGAGAGTGATCCTTAGTGAGAACACACTCACTGCCAACCTAGGAAGCCAGAGAGAAAAGCAGCCAGAGAGCACTCAGAAGGACTTTGTTTAGTACTGCCTTTTTGTCAAGAGTGTCTTTTCTTCCTATTTCTTCCTACTTCCAAAAGTCAGTATTCTAGAATGGGTTATGTTGGGAGTGAAAATGAGTGTAAATCAGTTCCAAGCTATATACTTCCCAAGCCTTTTTGATGTTCTAGCCTATGCAGGGGGTAGTGCCCAAATTATATCTCATTCAGCACAAGATGGCAATGTAGCAGTCTGCTTCTAAATGTTGCTTTATGATTTCGATGACAACTGGTTCCTACTGGAAGCCATGATAAAGCCGCCCCTAATGTAGACTACAGTGTGAGAAATGAGACTACTCCTTGCCAGAGCTTTATGCTTAAAATGGAAATCGTATTTAATCAGGTTGGGATGGCCCACTCTGCTTGTGGATATTCAAATCAGAAATGTACAACTCACTCTGCAGCTCTAGGTATAGACGCTGGATCCTCTGAATATTTATTTCCTCTTAGCAAACCAGTGAAATGCCACTAGGCATCTAATATTGATGGTCCCTCCTAAATGATAAAGTGCTGCATAGAAATGCATCCAAAACACCATAGTGCAATTACTATCATCCACTCTAGACGTATGGGTTTGACACAGTGAAGTATGGTACATAAGCACCATGTGGCTCAAATTCTGAATTTTATTTGCCAATCGGTTGAGCTACATGCTCGCTTCATTGAGCATGACAACCTAGTTTTAAGTGTCATTTAATTTTCATTTTGAAATATAATTACAAAGTGTTCACTGTAAGATATCACTCGTCTGCAAATGTGTCAAGATTAATTTGTGCTAGCTTATTCAGAAGTGTCAATAGTTAATTACTGTGTCATCTCTGGATAGCTAAATGACATTCTAACTTCTGATTTTTTACAGTGTTCCTTTATGTTATTTTCCATTAGGGGCTGAGTCCATATTCCTACATGTGGGCAAATATTCAAGCATATAAAATACCAGACATCACAACTCATTAAAATCAACAGAGCATATATTGCTCATATACTCCTATAAAATACATTTAACTGAAAAGATAATTCCAGTAATAATGTCAGATTCCTAAAAACTGCACATTAATTTGGATCTGTCTGATCTAAAGCATCAGGGACTACTCTATAGGATCATTGTTAGATTAATGTACTCTTAAGAGACAAGAAAAAACATTTGGGAAAGTGATTTATTTTTAAAAGATATACATTTAAACTTTGCTTTTTTTTTCCTTCATTCTCACTTCTAAGTCAATCAAGTCAAATACTTTCAGGAACCATGTACTAATTTGTATTCAATGACTTACCTATGCTATAGATAGTGACCATGTGATGTATCATCCAAACCAAGAAAACTTTCACAAGTTAAAGGAGGCAGGGTATTTTTACTCTAGAAAACAGGCACTATACTCGGGCTATCTGGGGAAATCTGAAATGTATGGTCACCTCTTTGGACTTTAAACCTGTAGAAAATCATTGGACCAATGACCTAAAAGATTCCCAAAGTTTTTCTGGAACAGAACCCCCTTTTTCTGGATAAGGAAAATAAGACCCAGAGAAAAGTCACTTACTCATAGTGAAGCTACAGAGGGATTATATGTGATGTCTGTATGAATAAGCATCCCCAACTCATTAGTCAAATCCAAACCTGAAACAATGTATCATTTTAGTTATGCCCAGTTGCTATGATGCCTTTTTTTGTACACATAATCCCTCAATATTCTTGAAGACCCTAGATTTCTAGAAGGCTTTTTTTTCCCATCTTTTCTTATTTTTTATTTTTATTTTTTAGGAAAGCTTACAACAAATAAGCCAATCAATGTGATGATTACTCTCTGAGCCTGGCACATTCCACATCTCCAGTGCGTCAGCGCCTTTTGCAGGGCTCACCTGTTCTTGCTGCTGGCGAGCAAGGTCCATTTGCTGCCGTTGTTTCTCAATTTGTGAGGCTGCCAGTTTTTTCTGTTCATCATGCGCTGCCAGAAGCTGCTCCCGTAAACTGATCAGCTGGGTAATCATGGTGGAGAGCTGCCGTTCTTTTTCTGCCAGGCTCTCAGGTGTACCTAAGATGGAAGCAAGAAGAGATCTCGCAAGCTTGAAAAATACCTGGACGAATAAGGGAAAGGAGGGCAGAATTTAGAAAGGGACTATCCTAAGACATTTAAAGATCTGCGGCAATGACTGGAGGCCACTGAGGGTGCAGGAACACCAGAGAGTAATTATAGCAGTGGAATGAATGCTGGGGTTCCTCACTGTTCCTGCCAAGAAAAAAGTTTTGTCCCTAGTAAAATTCTCATTCACTCTCCCCTCTTGCTCTAAAGAAAAGAAGCAGACTTATCCCCATTCTCTCCTTTTTGCCCCCAATCTATCTGATCAAGCTAGGAAATCCATGGTATTTAACACAAAAGATCAGAAACTATAGATTATAATATTCTGTAATCACCTCTAAGCTTAGTGACTAACAGTATCTAAAACATAGTACATGCTTAATAAAAGTTACTTGAGGAAGTTTCTGATCCTTGCCCTCACAAAATTTTCTATTGTATAAACATCTGTCACTGAAGTTTAGAAGTTAGGAGTCAATCTCCTGGCCACAGAGAAAATTCTACAGAGAGAATTAAAACTGCCTCAGGTGAGACAAAATTGAATGTGATTTTTTTTTTTTTTTTCCTGAGAAAGGATCAAGCTAAGATTCCCAAGTTCATCTGTAAAGGCAACAGTGTTGCTTGGGGGGGCTCTATCACCCCTTTGTCATTTATCATTTTTCAAAGAGAAAAAAACACATTCAAGGTTGAAAAGGTTATGCATAAGGATATGCTGTTTAATGAATATGATGTCGCTGAACACTTATGGTATGCACTAATGGTGCTGAACAGTCTTTTTATGGGCAAATTGCACAGCTCTCCTAAGTAAAGGGTACAGAATCCTTTTGTGAATCTAAATTAGAGCATTTTACCGCAGCATAAGATAAGAATTTCAACCCACTGTATCTGAGCCACACAGATTTCATTATGAAGAAATGATCTGTGATTTGAAAGCTTTTCAGAAAAATGCCACCAGCTGTCAAAGGGGACAAAGATTGCCAATTTTTGTGTGTGCAGGAGAGACTTCCAACCTCCTTATGAAACTCCCTCATTCCTACTAAGAAAGCACCATTACGATCTGAGAAAATATTTTAATTATGAGCGGCCTTATTTTTAAAGTAGCCCAAAGGAGAAAGAGAAACTTCAGAGGATGCAGGCTAGCACTTGTTAGTATATGATTTCTGAAAGGTAGAACTGATGTCAACAGAGAAGCTACCACATTTAGGACTATCTTGGGATTCTTAATATCAACTTGGGTCCAAAAAAAAAAAAAAAAAAGAGCTGTCAGTATCTCTTATATCCTCAGATTTACTGAGCTGAACGATGGCCTAAAATCAAAATTAAAGGAAAAATAAAGTTGTTAGAAAGTGTATTCCACTGATAAGGAAACAAATACTGTATCAAGGCTAGTGGCCAGCTACTCTTTCTAGATCCTGGAATTCATTTATTAAGAAAATGGGTTTTACTTCAGCCATGGGAAATTTCATCTTGGTAAAAGGCAAGAATTTAGTTGATCTAGGAACGTTCCAAAATACAAAAGTAGATCCCAAAAAGAATCAGTAGATTCCATAAAATTTCTTGAAAATGGGGACAAAAGTTCTTTTACTTAATCGTTTTCATTTAATATATTCCAGTGAATGAGGAGAATACAACACAAGAAAAAAAAAAAAAAATGAATGAGATTTTAAATTACATTATTGAATAAATTTAATTCGAATAAGTATTTTCTGAATTGCAACTATGTGTTAGAACGTTTATATTCAAGAACTAAGGCGACAGCCGTGGCAAGTAAAAGCAACACAGTCCCTTAATTCGTTGTTGTGTTTTGATAGTGAAAATATTGATGTATGACATGTCCATGGAGTTCGATTTGTCTTTATTTTCTCTGCACTTTTG